TCTCGAACCCTGTCCCCATCCCTATCCCCATCCCTATCCCTATCCCCATCCTCATTCCTATCCCCATCCGCATCCCTATCCCCATCCCTATCCCAATCCATACCCATATCCCCATCCCTATCCCGTATTCCTAGCCCCCTCCTCATCCCCATCCCCATCCCCATCCCTATCCCTATCCCCATCCCAATCCCATCGACCTCCTCATCCCCATCCCCATCCCCATCCCCATCCCCATCCCTATCCCTATCCCTATCCCCATCCCATCCACCTCCTCATCCCCATCCCCATCCCCATCCCCCTCCTCATCCCCATCCCCATCCCAATCCCAATCCCAATCCCAACTCCCTATCCCTATCCCTATCCCCATCCCATCCACCTCCTCATCCCCATCCCCATCCCCATCCCTATCCCCATCCCTATCCTCATCCCTATCCCCATCCCCATCCCCATCCCCATCCCCATCCCTATCCCCATCCCTATCCTCATCCCTATCCCCATTCCTATCCCCATCCCCATCCCCATCCCCATCCCCATCCCTAACCCCATCCCCTTCCCTATCCCTATCACCATCCCTATCACTATCACTATCCTCACCCCCATACCCATCCCTATCCCTATCCCCATTCCCCATTCCCCATTCCCCTTCCTATCCCCCTGCTCATACCCAACGCCATCCCCATCCAATTTTTCCTATCCCCCATCCCCATCCCTATCCCCATCCCCATCTCTGTCCCTATCCCCATCCTTATTCCTATCTCGAACCCTCTCCCCATCCCTATCCCCATCCCTATCCCCGTCCTCATTCCTATCCCCCATCCCCATGCCCATCCCTATCCCCATCCCCATCTCTGTCCCTATCCCCATCCTCATTCCTATCTCGAACCCTGTCCCCATCCCTATCCCCATCCCTATCCCCATCCTCATTCCTATCCCCATCCGCATCCCTATCCCCATCCCTATCCCAGTCCATACCCATATCCCCATCCCCATCCGTATTCCTAGCCCCCTCCTCATCCCCATCCCCATCCCCATCCCTATCCCCATCCCCATCTCTGTCCCTATCCCCATCCTCATTCCTATCTCGAACCCTGTCCCCATCCCTATCCCCATCCCTATCCCCATCCCCATCCGCATCCCTATCCCCATCCCTATCCCAATCCATACCCATATCCCCATCCCTATCCCGTATTCCTAGCCCCCTCCTCATCCCCATCCCCATCCCCATCCCATCCCCATCCCTATCCCCATCCCTATCCTCATCCCTATCCCCATCCCCATCCCTATCCCTATCCCCATCCCTATCCTCATCCCTATCCCCATTCCTATCCCCATCCCCATCCCCATCCCCATCCCTAACCCCATCCCCTTCCCTATCCCTATCCCTATCACCATCCCTATCACTATCACTATCCTCACCCCCATACCCATCCCTATCCCTATCCCCATTCCCCATTCCCCATTCCCCTTCCTATCCCCCTGCTCATACCCAACGCCATCCCCATCCAATTTTTCCTATCCCCCATCCCCATCCCCATCTCTGTCCCTATCCCCATCCTCATTCCTATCTCGAACCCTCTCCCCATCCCTATCCCCATCCCTATCCCCGTCCTCATTCCTATCCCCCATCCCCATCCCCATCCCCATCCCCATCCCTATCCCCATCCCCATCTCTGTCCCTATCCCCATCCTCATTCCTATCTCGAACCCTGTCCCCATCCCTATCCCCATCCCTATCCCCATCCTCATTCCTATCCCCATCCGCATCCCTATCCCCATCCCTATCCCAATCCATACCCATATCCCCATCCCTATCCCGTATTCCTAGCCCCCTCCTCATCCCAATCCCCATCCCCATCCCCATCCCTATCCCTATCCCCATCCCCATCCCATCCACCTCCTCATCCCCATCCCCATCCCCATCCCTATCCCTATCCCCATCCCATCCACATCCTCATCCCCATCCCCATCCCCATCCCCCTCCCCATCCCCATCCCCATCCCAATCCCAATCCCAATCCCAACTCCCTATCCCTATCCCTATCTTCATCCCATCCACCTCCTCATCCCCATCCCCATCCCCATCCCAATCCCAACTCCCAACTCCCTATCCCTATCCCTATCCCATCCCAATCCCAATCCCTATCCCTATCCCTATCCCCATCCCATCCACCTCCTCATCCCCCTCCTCATCCCCATCCCCATCACCATCCCTATCCCCCTCCTCATCCCCATCCCCATCCCCATCCCTATCCGCATCCCTATCCCCCTCCTCATCCCCATCCCCATCCCTATCCCTATCCTCATCCCCATCCCCATCCCCCTCCTCATCCCCATCCCCATCCCCCTCCTCATCAGCATCCCTATCCCCATCCCTATCCCAGTCCATACCCATATCCCCATCCCCATCCGTATTCCTAGCCCCCTCCTCATCCCCATCCCCATCCCCATCCCTATCCCCATCCCCATCTCTGTCCCTATCCCCATCCTCATTCCTATCTCGAACCCTGTCCCCATCCCTATCCCCATCCCTATCCCCATCCTCATTCCTATCCCCATCCGCATCCCTATCCCCATCCCTATCCCAATCCATACCCATATCCCCATCCCTATCCCGTATTCCTAGCCCCCTCCTCATCCCCATCCCCATCCCCATCCCCATCCCTATCCCTATCCCCATCCCCATCCCATCCACCTCCTCATCCCCATCCCCATCCCCATCCCCATCCCTATCCCTATCCCTATCCCCATCCCATCCACCTCCTCATCCCCATCCCCATCCCCCTCCTCATCCCCATCCCCATCCCAATCCCAATCCCAATCCCAACTCCCTATCCCTATCCCTATCCCCATCCCATCCACCTCCTCATCCCCATCCCCATCCCAATCCCAACTCCCAACTCCCTATCCCTATCCCTATCCCCATCCCATCCACCTCCTCATCCCCCTCCTCATCCCCATCCCCATCCCCATCCCTATCCGCATCCCTATCCCCCTCCTCATCCCCATCCCCATCCCTATCCCTATCCTCATCCCCATCCCCATCCCCCTCCTCATCCCCATCCCCATCCCCCTCCTCATCCGCATCCCTATCCCCATCCCTATCCCAGTCCATACCCATATCCCCATCCCCATCCCGTATTCCTAGCCCCCTCCTCATCCCCATCCCCATCCCCATCCCTATCCCTATCCCCATCCCCATCCCATCCACCTGCTCATCCCCATCCCCATCCCCATCCCCATCCCCATCCAATCCACCTCCTCATCCCCATCCCCATCCCCATCCCCATCCCTATCCGCATCCCTATCCCCCTCCTCATCCCCATCCCCATCCCCATCCACATCCCTATCCGCATCCCTATCCCCCTCCTCGCCCCCAACCCCATTCCCATCCAAATTCCTATCCCCATCCCCATTCATATCCCCCTCCTCATCCCCATCCCTATCCACATCCACATCCACATCCACATCCACATCCACATTCACATCCCAATCCCAATCCCAATCCCCATCACCATCCCAATCCAAATCCAAATCCAAATCCAAATCCAAATCGCGATCACCATCCCCATTCCTATCCCTATTCCCATCCTTGTCCCTATTGTACTGGTTTGTTGAGCTGTCCATGCAATTGCCGTGTTGGTGAATCAGGTGTCACTATTGCCTACAGTTTAAAGGATCGGTTTGTTGATAGGTTGTCAGTAATTCTATCATTCGAACGTTGCCACATGAATCGATGTCACCATCTTCAACTATTTGCCACAATGCACTGGATTGTGTCTTTGTGTCTTTGTGTCTCTATGTCAAAACAGTGAATACAACCGAAATCAATCAGCATGAAATAACAAAACTATTGCTCAATGAAAACATCTACAGCTACATGTGTAGACCGGGTTGTTGTAGGACTGCCCATGTAATTGTTGTGTTGGTGAGTCAGTAGGTGTCAGTGCTCCCCAGAGCTACAGGTGTAGGGCTGGGTTGTTGTAGGGCTGCCCATGTAATTGTTGTGTTGGTGAGTCAGTAGGTGTCAGTGCTCCCCAGAGCTACATGTGTAGGACTGGGTTGTTGTAGGACTGCTCATGTAATTGTTGTGTTGTAGAGTCAGTAGGTGTCAGTGCTCCCCACAGCTACATGTGTAGGACTGGGTTGTTGTAGGACTGCCCATGTAATTGTTGTGTTGTTGAGTCAGTAGGTGTCAGTGCTCCCCACAGCTACATGTGTAGGACAGGGTTGTTGTAGGACTGCCCATGTAATTGTTGTGTTGTTGAGTCAGTAGGTGTCAGTGCTCCCCACAGCTACATGTGTATGAATGGGTTGTTGTAGGACTGCCCATGTAATTGTTGTGTTGGTGAGTCAGTAGGTGCCAGTGCTCCCCACAGCTACATTTGTAGGCCCTGGTTGTTGTAGGGCTGCCATGACATTATGGGATAACTTTAGTTACTGGTTTCAATATTTCCATTGTGAAATCTAGGTCCCTTATCTACAGGCCGTACACGTGCAGGCCTGGAGCAGGAAGTATAAATGTGATTATAAACAGATTATCTTAGTACAGAATTTTTATTTTTTTTGAAACGGACGTTGCCATAGCAATTAAATAAATATGTGAACAACAGATTTTGTTTTGAGATTAGATTTTTCAACTACAGCGACACAACCAGATATATGCTTATTTAATACCATCATTCTGATTTTCATGTAAGATTTTAGGGGACAAAATATCTTTTTATATATAAAATAATAGTGTGTGTGTGCGTGCGTGCGTGCGTGTGTGCGTGTGCGTGTGCATCTTACACGTTTTTCCAGGTTTATCATGTGTTGATAGGGACTCAAACAACTATAGGTTTCAATTATTGAAAATATATCTTTAACTTATAAAATAGCAATAGAAGCAATTGGCATCTGGGTTCATACAGGGAAGGACAAGTTCAATAACAACCCAAATGGGTCAATACTTATCTGAACCATCATCACGGCGGTTGTCTCAGTGTACGTTTCTGGTTTCAGGGCATTGGTCCATATAATTATAATTCAAGAATATTGTGTAAGACGAGTGAATCAAGCCAGAAAAATCAGTTAAAACCTGAGTGACACAAGACTGCACTGCTTTGAGCGTGAGAAATGTGACAATCCAACACAACGAAACTATTGTGGGGTACACCAACTTGTTAACAGACATGCAACGCTGTTTGGGATATCACAAGATTATTGAGAAACATGCAAGGTTGCCCTTCGTGTAATACTGTTCAAACAATATACCGGCAACAAAACACCAAGATACTGTTAATGCACACAGAGCGGGAACTGTATCACGAGATCTACCATTTATGACACAAGCGTGCATTGATCTTTGCATGACTGGTGTGATCCAAACACACCTGTTGTGAACATTACAGACTATTGTCTGTACCAGATTATTACCGGACATGCACGAATGTTGTGAATACTACATGAGTGTTGAGAAACATGCCCAGTTGCGATGTATGCGATAAGGTTAACACTTTTTACAGGAAACAAAGTGCTGAACACGAACTACTTTCAATCCACACAGAGCGGGCAATATATTTAAAGAAGTCAAAAAAAAGGAATAAGACACGTGACGAACTTCTTAAGAGACTGTCAGCGTTACGCAACAGTGGTGGTGGTGTTTTGTTGATTCATGTAAACGGAACAAGAGCTGGGGACAGATGTCTGAAGTATTTTGATGAGTTTGTCGGCAGAATAGTGACCCACTTGCTAGAACCCGGAGAAGTCTATGCCAACACCTACAGACGTCAGTGGTTACAGGACATCTTGGAGGATTGTCCAGACAGTGCTGCATTTATTCATATACGCGTCGCAGCTGTGACAGGTGTAGCTACTGTAGATTTCAATACAAAGCTTGGCAAGGATTATGAGAATGTAATTCCCACAACACAACAACTACTCACTGTACGATCACATATTCTCAAAGCTACTGACCCTGTACTTAGAAATCTACCACCTGACAATCAACAGTTACATGAAGATATTCACATTCAGTTAAAAGGCTTTCCACCACAACATACCCTAACTGAAGCAATACAAAAAGATGCAACCGACTTTGTGGAGTACCTGTGGAATAAGCTTAAATTAAAGGATAGCATAACTTCTATGTCAAAGATTCCTGAAGGTGGATCCTTCTATTTTGGAATAGGTGAGAAGAGTACAGCTAAGACCGACACATATGAAACAATTATTCCAGATGTACATGGATTTGAGTTAAAAGTGGGTGAGGGAGAGTTAAAGAAAACACTCAAGTCAAAGCTACGTGACTGTGTACTATGGGGTCGAAGTGAGAACACTTTCACTGCTGTCCCTTCTGATCTGATTGCTATTGCATTTCACACAAATCCACCTCATCCTCAGAGATGTGTCCTAGAGGTGGCTGTGAAGTGTGTTGAAGGTGTTGTGTTCTGTGACAGCCATGGACCTAGAACATACGTGATGAAAAACGGACAAATTGACAGAATGGAAACAGGTATGTGGTTAGAAAGAATAATGTAAACCCATACAATTATTAGATGCTTACTCTGTTTTGAAATCACTTGAAGCAGTTTGTTCCCAACATGTCCGGAGAGAACAGCGAGTCCAAGGCTTCTTCTGGTGACATTCATCATTCAGAGGGTACACCAGGGGATAATCATGAAGTCCAGATGGCTTACGATGAAGTAACTGATGACGGCAGCTCTCTTGGATCGAGCCCATACCAGTCTGATGAAGAAATCATCAAGAGCCTGTTTGCCCAAGAAAATGACTCCACGTCAAGTTCTGATGACCAGGAACCACTTCATGCAGGTATCACAAAACAAAGCTTATCAGTACAGAACCTGAAGGGCGTGTAACTGGCATTACAGGTCGATGCTTTGTTAAATGGTAGTTTGCAGGCCTCACATATTTTGCACAGATATACGATGTCACGATTGTTTGCATCAATTCATTCATTGAACTTTCACAGGTTTATACATATTAAAAACATATAACAAACCTTATTATCAATGCATTTACACATTTTTCTGTTTTTCCAAATCAGATTTTCCCTCGGGGGGAATTAGCAAAGGCGAACGAAACCTAATACTTGATCAGACAGACCTCAAGAGGGCAACAGATCCTGGTCAGTTGTTTAGAGAATACCTTACGAGTTAAGGGGAATAATTATTATGGAGTATATATCCCTACTGAATGTAACAAATCCCGAGACTTGACATGACCTAATTTGAATGCAAATGAACATATAACAATCATGACATTTTAGTAGGAGAAGGTAAAATCCTTTACAATCATCGTCTAATGTGACGTTTGTTGAAATGTATTGACGGGTGAAACAATCTGTTACCCTGTGTTTATGTTCTGCCGATGTCTAGATCCAAGACTCAGTTGTTTATAAACATTCATTAGGTTTTCGTTTCATGGTCGTGATCGGGTGTCTGGTTGTACATTTGTAGAATCAAGTTCTGTCCAAAAAGTTCAATCACTTCTCTCCCACTTAATAATAATAATTGAAATTCCAGCGTTCTGATTTCCATTCAGTTTATTGCTATTGAATTACAAATATAAACTAATCTAGTCAATGTTTCACACACGTTCTATTTTCTAAGGCAATCACATTAAACTAACTGCTATCCAAATAGTACATACATATTTGACCATATAGTTTTTGTCCATCAAAGTTTGTATATAAGGCATTCCTTGTTGTTTGTGTGTTTAGATTACTGTTAATTTGCACACCAATGTCTGAGGGATTCATGGTTCTACAAAATAACATATACAGATTCATACTGCTTTTTGTTTTGAAAGACCTTTTTTTATAATTCATTAGAAGATCATGTGTCGATTGACTAAGATAGATGTGTAGTACATTAATATTGATCGACTTTTACTTTCAACAACCCATCTACCTAGTGTGACGTAAAGCATAAACTCACTCACTCACCCCATCCACTCAGTAAAACGTTAATGATAGTTTTATTCTTTCAGGTCACAGAATATTTCCCCAGTCTGCTAAGAAGTATTTGGAGCTTAGTTTGCAGAACCCCGGTGGCAAAGTAGATGTGATTTCAAGAGAAATCCAGAATGTTCTACACCAACATGTTGGTTGGGCCTACGTTGCACATCAGATGGCTCATACTGACAAGTTTGAATGTCGCAAACTACCTACCATATCCATCTGTGACGTGGCTATCATTAGAGCCACACAACCACTACACATCCTGACATTTGTAGAGGACGGAGGCAAACAGGAGCATGCAGTGGAGTACAATGCCCAGCTGACGAGAAGCACCATGGGTTTCATCAAGGAGGAGACAGGTGTGTCACTTGATGTCGTATATGGAGTTGTACCTGCGTCCACGTGGAAGGATGAGAAGATGTTTAAGGAGAAGCTAGAGCGTATAGAAACTGTAGCCAGACGGAAGGCCTTACCTGGATACCTCCACATGGATACCGAGAGATACACAGCCATAACCAACGCACTAGTTGACCTTTATAGTGAACCAGGGTTGAAGGTAAATTATCTCGTACAACACTAATTAAGTCTTTATCATACAAATATCCAAAGTAATGCATCTGTCCCATCTATTGGTACCTAATGTCCTTTCTTAAACATTATTATAACGACTGTCACATCCAGTTTTTTTACGTTTGCCATTACCATCCAAGATCCAAAGTGTTCATCCTGAAGCTTTATTCTCGTATTGTAAAACTTGGGGAAACACTTTCATGTACATCGCACCAAGAAAAGAACTCAAAATCTTGCACCAGGCACAAACCAAGCTGCCTTTGACTTTCAAAACAAAACTAACCCTGCCACGGCGGATTATCATTCATGCCACTAAATGCAAATTGTATTTTTGCAGTAACAATTTTAAATTTGAGGGGTGTTTGCATTACATGCAGAATGATAGCAGCCTATCATCAACTTTTGCTGACTGCACTGAAACTTAGTGACATGTCACACCCGTCTAGAGCAATTTAGATTTTGGAAATCGCATGGCAGATGGCGTCCCCAATATCTAGTGTTATAAAATATATCTTCTAGTGTTGTTTAAAAGCGACACACAAGACAGCATATGTAAACGTAGGTAAGGTTGTATCCATCGATCCCGTTTCTGGCATTTATAAACATACATTGACATTGGTTACATTCTGTACAGTAATTCGGGTCACAAAGGCATTACAAAAGCATATGTTGGTTTTGACATAATTAATTGTGAAGGAAGGTATAGATTCACTGAAATAAATCAACAGTTGTCAGTCAGCAGACATTTTGAAACAGCGACATATACAGTTACATTTTAATGGAGAGGTCAAAAAAGGGTAAAAAAAAACTATGAATGTATTTTAACTTGATGAGACAACAGAGAGCTTGAAACGTGTCACTTTTTCATAGCAGACAATGGCATACATATATTTTGCAATTCAGCAGCATAACAATTTCTCAAAGGCCATCATCTGTGTTTCCATTATTCAGATTGACCAACTAACATTCAACCTATACATTTCACTCAATATCATGGGCAGCTGTTTCGTCTATTAATAATTGTTTTCTATTCAGGTTGAACTACAGCCTCAAGAGGACCCCCCAAACCCAGGTGACAAACAGTTTTATAATTCACACAGTAATAAGACAATGCACACCTAATCGTCAGAGACAATCACAATGTCCAGTCATATAATATCATATGTTTTTGTCGACTGTTTTTTTATTGAAGAGGACATCAAACCGTTTAAGCTTGGCTTTGTCTCCTCATATCACACGGCCTACATTGATACGGGAACCAGAATACCTGTTTTCAAAGCGAATTTGTCACTCTTTTCTGTCAAATTTCCACAGTAAATTAAGTTTCATCAAATTAAATTAACATAAAAGTACATTGTTTTTGGCCTCACATACAAGATGATCAAGTTAACTTCATTCCATTTGGAGTACAGGGGTAGGTTTCGAATGTATGATTGTTTTTCTTCTTTACTTTTTCTCTGACACACAGCAAACATGTGGTTTCTAAATAATGATTGAAGTTGTCAACAACATGGATAAGTAGCTTTCTTTAAGATGGTAGTAGGAGAGGAGGCGGCCATACGAAGCGCTCGTAGAATATTAAAATATCATAATTAAAAGAAGCGCAGGTAAAATCCTTCATGTTCATTTTTTTCTTTTAAAAAAAGAAAGAAGTGTTGGTGCTGGTGGTAGTGGAGGGAGGAGGGAGGAGGTGGTGGAGGGAGGGAGGGGGGAGGGAGTAGGAGGGAGGTTGGGGAGGAGGAAGGAGGAGGAGGAGGTGGGAAGTACATGTAGCATGTCCCATGCGTTAGTCACTTTGTTCAGATGATCTATCTTCTTCATCCTCCACCTCTTCCTCCTCCTCAGACTGGTGACGTCGTTGGCGCTTTGAAGGGTGCTTTCTTGAGGGGCTTCTGTCACGTTTTCTTTTCCCTAGACGTGGTGTGATGCATGGAGTTGTGCGATGCATTCTTTTAGAGCACGGGCGTGGATATGCATGGTTTCTATGAGATGAAGCACTTGTGTCACTTGTGTCACTTGTGTCACTTGTGTCGACATGGACGGCGTAGCTGAAGTTTTCTTTCGACTGGGTTCTGGGCAATCTGCAGCGAAATGACCCACTGCTCGGCAGTTGTAACATGGGCCCTGGCGAGTCTTCTGCTTATCTTGACTGCTGATCTTCGGACAGACATAGTGGCGGGTGACCTTGAGTGTGGCACTCGGTACATGTCACTTCAGGGCAGGTAACTGTGACTGTCGGTCTGACACTTCATACAGTTGTATAGAGACACAGTTGTATACATGGTTGATTTCATAGAATGCAGTGTGTGTGTGAGTTCGCTGACTAATGATGAAAATTGGGATTTGGAGCTGGTTTCAGTTGCGCACCCTTTGCCACTGTGCAAACGGAGCCGCTGGGATTTGGAACAAATTCTTCCATGGCAATGCAACAAGTGCAAAGGTTGCCTGCCAGTCTATGCGCATGGCACAAGGGCACGTGATGGCACATTTCAGTTATCTACTGTAACATTGTCCTGAAGGACACCTACGTGCGGCGACTATGCCACAACAGTCAGTGTCCTGTCAGGAGACAGGTGTCAGACCATCCGTGCCTTTGTAGCACAGTCCCTTTGTGGGAGAGGAAGTAATCTACTTCTTCTCTGAAACGGCCCTTTTCAGGGCCACCCATCTCTCCCGAAAGAACGCGTGCATCCATTGCTTTGACTACCCTCCAAAAGTCACCTGACTACCCTTTAAAAAAAGAAAGAAATGGACATTAAGGATTTAACGTGCGCTTCTTTTAATTTTGATATTTTGATATTTTACGAGCGCTTCTTATGGCCGCCTCCTCCCCGGAACCTGATGTGGCGTCCTCTTGGAGGTGCGCACGCCTCCCGGAAACGGAAATGTCGCCATCTTGGATGCGCGCGCCACCGGAAACGGAAGTGCCGCCATCTTCGATGCGTATGTATGAAGTTACATGATTTGTAACATTATAATTATTGCTCATTTTACACCTGAATACAAACCGAAACCTTCTTTGCGTGACCATCTTCATGTTCATATATCATCTAGTTAAAACTACTACTTACTAATTATCTTAATCATAAAAACAATTACAAAGTATATGCATTACAAATATAATCAAATGCAGGCTGATCACACGCTCTCTCAAAATAATAGTTACAGTTATTCTCTTTGGATTCCCACCAAATAATATCCTAGGGTCACTGTTGCCTTACCCTTACAAAGGTTATCTGATGGCAATGAGTTCGAATCCCGGATTCGCCCCGATTATGATCTTATGAGGATACGTTTGTGCTAGTTTGCATAATACATGTTGTATAAGTATCAGACCAGATCCTCTCCCAGTTTCCACCTATCTTCTTCATATGAGGATATTGCATCACATACAATGTTTCGCATTACACGTTATGTTTATCATCTTCTAACCATAGACGTCAGCCCATAACGTTGTGACAACATAAATTGGAGTCCACAGAGTGACATCATATGTACTTATTATCATAAAATTGTGGTTAGTGAGTGAGTATGATTTGACACCGCTTTTAGCAACATTCCGGCAATATAACGGAGGAGGACACCAGAAATGGGCTTCACACATTGTACCCATGTCTGTCTGTCTGTCCATCTATCTTCAATTCATGAAATGTCGTTGAAAACGAGACATTCGCTCTGAATTTCACAGGTCGTTTACTGTCGATTTTCACTTGGCCTCCGTTGTATTTGAAAAGAACAGAACACAATATCACTGAATCAAGTTGTGTATCCTGCTATTTGTTCTGCTATTATTTGTTTGAGTCAGAGCAGAAGGAGAGAAGCATGTTCGTAATGAATAGAAAACAACATGAAAGGCAAACCTCATCAGAGATGTGCAAGCATATTAGCAGGGAGACAAAACTATAATGGCTTTAGGACATTGACTATATCAGAATTTAGATTCCACATGATTTTGTTTTGTCCATGGTGTAGGTATCATACTTTCTCCTCCAGTGTCGGGTGAAGCTGAACCAGGAGTCTCACAGACTGATACGATGCAGCAGGGAGAAGACCTAGAAGGTAAGACTGAAGATTGTGGAAAAGAGTTACAATATTGTAAACCTTTTTCACTTGCAGTAATACTGAATGTGACAGGTGCATTTAGAGTGAGTGCAGCAGGCAGAATAACGTTGCTACACGAGTGTGGTAACCAGAATAACGTCAGCGTTCATTTATTGTCATGTCAAGGATTATTTCATCATAATAATAAGTTAAAACAACGACGTCAAAGACAAACACATTTAGTAGCTACACAACCAAACCCAATCGTTTCAGGGTAACCTTATTTCTGTTATAAGTATGTCATTATATTATATCGGAAACTTACAGACGATGGCTGTATGTGTTCAAAGTGCATTTTTCTGTTACAGCGGCTCGAAGAGACACAAGTCGTGACCAATTCATAAATGCCTGCCGTTTCGGAGACCTGGAAACAGTCAGGGCCGCAATGGGTGGGCTGGATGTGAACGGCGCCGGATCGAACGGGGTTACACCATTAAGAGCGTCAATAGAGAATAGGCGGTTCACTGTCATGGAGTTCCTTGTGGAGAAAGAAGCCAATCCGACACTGGTGGACGGTGAAGGTCGAAATATTCTTCACTTGGCCAGCATTAGAGGAGATAAGCAGAAGGTGGAGTTTATCCTCTCACTGAAGAAGATGGACATCAACGCCAAGGACAACGAAAGCATGACAGCGGCCGACTTGGCGAGACACTGGAAAAATGAAGAGGTGGTGGGAATCCTGTCGTCCCATATGTCAAGTCAGTAATAACCTGAATAACATCAGCGTTCATTTATTGTCATGTCAAATATTAGTTAATCATAATAATAAGACAAAAACCTTTAGTAGCTACACAACCAAAACTATTCTTTTCAAGGTAATCTCATTTCTGTTATAAATATGTCATTATCTTACTTTAGACTTTAACACATGAGATTCTGTACCACAAAATACTTCTGAACACATACACAATACTACTCGCGAGCACATGATACAGTACTGAATACATCATAGTGTTGTTACTAGTACTGAACTGGCAAGACCATCTAAATAATAAACTCATCTATGATTAGTTCTATGACCCCTAACACCCTGTAATTATAAATTGACTGCAGTTGTTATATTTACATAAAACTGTACCAGTAAATGGCTTTCCTCGACTGAATTCCATGTCTGACAACTAACAAAAATCACTGATGAGTTAACCCCCTTTACATGATAAAATGCATACAGATACTCAAAATATTTTATCAAACGTCACCTTGAAATATTTATCTGGATCACAGAAATACTAAAAACACTCTCATACACAAGATGCATAACCCTGTGCTTGTTTGAACACAAACTTAAAGAACATCTTTAACTGACAACTGATTGTTAAGAGACAAGCCAGAATTATCTCCCCTTAATTGGAATGCAACTGTTATTCCTGTGCAAAGATAATTATTTCTTAACCTCATAATTATTATATAACAATACTGTAACCCTTATACATGTATTTACAAAGAGACTACTGCACAAACATATTTGTCAACATTGGACAAATGAATACTTTCATGTGCATAACACGTCGGAAAACTTTCGTATTTACTTCATAATGCAAAACGCACTAATCTACAAGAATATCCTGAACAAACCATTTGTACAATAGTTAGGCACAAATTGTAGGGATTCTACAATCAGTAGTAGCTATTGATCAAGTGTTAACCTTTCGTTAACTAACACTGAACGGGACGTCGAGTTTGTTTCCTTCCCCTGTGACCGACTTCCAAGGGACGTTACTCGCTACATAGACCCACACCGCGTTCCGCTAAAACACCTACGTAGCCTGCTAATACCCCCATTCCAGTAGGCGGCGATGCACAGTGATCTACGCGATCTGAAGGAGCGCCATACATCGCCATATAATGAGGCGATATAGGGGTACTTGTGATCCCATTACGATCAGATAGCGATCCAATAGCGATCCAATAGGATCTATGTGATCCGATAGCGACTTGATGGCGCATGATCGCCACCCAACCACCCCAAAATGTGGCGATCTTGCACGATCAGTTCCCGCTCCATTCGCGATCCGATGTGATCAGGTTGCGCTCCAATGGCGCTCTTTTGGCGATCCGATGGCGATCATTGTGATCTATGGCGTTCTTCTCTGATCCGATAGCGATCGAGTGGAATCTATGAAGATCCGTTAGAGCTCAAGTAGCGCTCTAGGCGATCCGATTGCGACCTGATCGCCGCAAAGGGCCCGATCCTATCAAAACCTGTGGCGTTCAGCCGCGCTCTTCGGTTATGTGCTTGGCAGAAGACGGGTATCACCATGAACCATAGAGATGCTGCCATATTACAAGTGATTTACAATCTCGTGAACCATGCCATCGTGAACCAGCAGATTGCTATTCTGGCCCAGCAGCCTCGAAGAAGAAAGAGAAGGAAGGTTTTTTGGGTGAGACACTGGAGCGCCATTCGTGAACCAAACAGTGAAGCACAATCAGAGCGCCATCGGAGCCCAGTCGGAATGCCAATGCATCTCCAAGGAGCGCCATCAGATCGCCATGGAGCGCCGAAGATCGGTAGGCCAGCTTTTGTGGCGATCGGCGGCGCTCTATGGTGATCCGATAGCGCTCCGATTGCGACCTTGGCAATCAAGTAGCGCTCCGATGGCGATCTAGGCGATCAAGTAGCGCTCCGATGACGATCTAGGTGATCAATTAGCAATCTGATGGCGCTCTGGGCGGAGCGCCACGGATCTTTGTGCAGGGGAGTTAACCGGCGGCGACCTTGGCGATCATGGAGATCAGTTAGCAATCTGTTAGCGATCCGTTGACGCTTTTGGCGACCTTGGCGCTCTATATGGCGCTCTCACGGAGAACTATTTCTCCTCCATCTCATGTCTAAACTAGCATAATATAACAACATTTCGATATAATAACATTGATCTGCGACTGACAACTTTGGCGGAAACGAACAGACGTTTTGACGATGATGGCTTGCTGACTTCTAAAACTTAAATTCCAAATTTACTGTGTGTTGATACATACATAAAAACATACAACATGGTCTATATGATTTGTGGAACAATGGGAATATGTTTTCTATGCATTGATTCATCACCTAAAGCAAACGAATCCAATAGATAACATTAACAACTGTTTTTACATTCCTATTTTATTACAGTATGTCTGCGCATGCGTTAAACGCACATGGCAGTCGGGTACTGTTTACCCAAAACAAATTATGCAATCATAGGCTTCTGATGAATAAACATTTCCTTACAATCTGATAATAATCTGACGTCATGTTTATAACAAATATTTTCTAAGAAAATAATACAAATCAACTTCAATCTAAATTCTTCTAATAACTGATAGTCTACCATGACAGTTATACTACTATCATAAGACGACTTACATGCTTTTACAATATATCTTCGTGATGTTTTGTTCAAAAGGAACCAAACAATTTCAACAAATATATCGATATTTAAACTGTATAAGTTAATGTATAAAACAAAACATTAGATATTATGACATGGTACTCACCTGATTGTGTAACTGTAATTTGGCTAATGTTGCACCATCACTGATGGAGCACAGCCTTATCATTAAATGTAATGAATTACCTAAACATTGACACAATTTTTGTTAACGTCATAGCTGGTTATCTGTCTTTGATGACGTCGGAGAAAAACGACTCTGGTATTTTGATTAATATATATCCCACCTAATTTTCGTTCATGATTTGGATCTCTCGATGTGTAAAATGGAATTTGACGCTTTTTCGAGATAACATAAAATGACTGCTTTTACCATTTAAATAATGTCTCGACCAGATAAACAATTAGATAGTGGGTATATCAATTGGACAAGACAAGCACATGTTTGGCCTCAGTACGTAATGAAATTCCCAAAAGAATATTTCAAAACAAACAAGTATTTTCAATATTGGACATGTATTTGACTACACAATGTAATCATCCTTACTATCTATACACACATATACTACTAAAATCTAAAACATTTTTGGCACAAACGTTCATAATATTTGGACAAAACATGAATATTATATTTTTTCTTCTTCATGGGCTGAATAAAATCAGGATTAAACTGACAACGTATTGTAAACATAACTTTTGTTAAACGCTTTAAAAGTAGACACTGGAGTAACATATCCATCTCATCCGCCACAGAATCGGGGCAGTTGCAACAGGTTCGTCCTACCACCGGTATCTTGAAGTACCGTCCCGTTACTATATGGGGATGGGGGGTGGTGCTGTTCCACATATAACTTAGTCCTTTTACTTATTTTACGAACAGTAGCCATCAGTAATCACTAAGAAAGCATTCACATCAGTTAATTAACACTGTCATGGTTAAGTGACCACACCATATTGACAGGCCGGGTAATTTCTTTTGTCGAAGGTTAGCAACAACATATTTTTCATGCTCGGGCTGACACCATCTCAACTGTGATCTCAGTTGAAAACTGTAATTCGAAAGACGAATGGTGCTGTACTTCTCAGTACGCCTCATGATAACCCCTGCTCTTTCTAAGTAAACTAAGAACTCCCTTACTTCTCTGATTACTGTTTGAGAACTAACACAAATCATCCAAATACAGTTACAGGATACTACTCATCTCCGCTGCCGCCACAGGGACGCAACCCACGGCAAACTGGTTACCTGGTCTGTAACGACCAGCAATGGGATGCTGGGGATACATTCGACCCCGGGTCCCCACAGGGTTGCAAGGTAAGACATGTCATACTATGATATAAATCTTTGTTAGAGACCAGATCGTTTTGACTGGGCGCCGCCATTTTGTTTGAAGCAAATGCAAATGCAAGTGATATGAGGGGTGGAATCTGATTTATCAGTAGGAGGGACATAGAAGGGACATAACTCATTTTTTGTTCAAGACTTCATGATTATTGATGTGTAGGGAATCCATTCATGCATTAACATCATTAAATAACTTGTTACTCAGATGCATAAAGTTTAAAATACTAGAATATGAAACACTACCACACTATTAAATAATGATGATAATAACATTAAGCACTAATACTTTTGCAAATGTTGTTGTATCCGGATTCAGTCGTGTTGATCTTGTAGGGAACAAACTGCATCTCTATGTCAGAAAAAAGCACACCTTCGTGAAGTGTAGTTCTGTTTATATTGATGATATATTATACCTATATTGTTTTCTTTTGTACAAATGTATCTACGCTGTTGCATCTTCATCGCAGCGAAATACTGAGCCAAATCGTAACAATTATTTCCTGACCATGCCAGTAATGCTGCACACTGGCATATTTACATGTAAGCACATGTGTCAGAAATCAATTGCCAGATAGTGAGGAGAGTTTACATGCAGATACAACATGTACATGCGTGTAGTTGTGTATACAGTGAACCTGTCTGGTAAACTCTCCTGTACACCGTGAATCTATGAGGTAGACACCCCTGTATATAGTGAACATGTCCGGTACACTCTCCTGTGTATAGTGAACCTATCGGGTAAACTCTCCTGTTAATGGTGAACCTCTAAGGTAGATACTCCTGTTAATGGTGAACCTCTAAGGCAGATACTCCTTTTAATGGTGAAAGGTAGATACTCCTATTAATGGTGAACCTCTAAGGTAGATACTCCTGTTAATGGTGAACCTCTAAGGTAGATACTCCTGTTAATGGTGAACCTCTAAGGTAGATACTCCTGTTAATGGTGAACCTCTAAGGTAGATACTCCTGTTAATGGTGAACCTCTAAGGCAGATACTCCTGTTAATGGTGAACCTCTAAGGTAGATACTCCTTTTAATGGTGAACCTCTAAGGTAGATACTCCTGTTAATGGTGAACCTCTAAGGTAGATACTCCTGTTAATGGTGAACCTCTAAGGTAGATACTCCTTTTAATGGTGAACCTCTAAGGTAGATACTCCTGTTAATGGTGAACCTCTAAGGTAGATACACCTTTTAATGGTGAACCTCTAAGGTAGATACTCCTGTTAATGGTGAACCTCTAAGGTAGATACTCCTGTTAATGGTGAACCTCTAAGGTAGATACTCCTGTTAATGGTGAAAGGTATACACTCCTGTTAATGGTGAACCTCTAAGATAGATACTCCTGTTAATGGTGAACCTCTAAGGTAGATACTCCTGTTAATGGTGAACCTCTAAGGTAGATACTCCTTTTAATGGTGAACCTCTAAGGTAGATACTCCTGTTAATGGTGAACCTCTAAGGTAGATACTCCTGTTAATGGTGAACCTCTAAGGTAGATACTCCTTTTAATGGTGAACCTCTAAGGTAGATACTCCTGTTAATGGTGAACCTCTAAGGTAGATACTCCTGTTAATGGTGAACCTCTAAGGTAGATACTCCTGTTAATGGTGAACCTCTAAGGTAGATACTCCTGTTAATGGTGAACCTCTAAGGTAGATACTCCTGTTAATGGTGAAAGGTATACACTCCTGTTAATGGTGAACCTCTAAGATAGATACTCCTGTTAATGGTTAACCTCTAAGGTAGATACTCCTGTTAATGGTTAACCTCTAAGGTAGATACTCCTGTTAATGGTGAACCTCTAAGGTAGATACTCCTGTTAATGGTGAAAGGTAGATACTCCTGTTAATGGTGAACCTCTAAGGTAGATACTCCTGTTAATGGTGAACCTCTAAGGTAGATACTCCTGTTAATGGTGAACCTCTAAGGTAGATACTCCTGTTAATGGTGAACCTCTAAGGTAGATACTCCTGTTAATGGTGAACCTCTAAGGTAGATACTCCTTTTAATGGTGAAAGGTAGATACTCCTATTAATGGTGAACCTCTAAGGAAGATACTCCTGTTAATGGTGAACCTCTAAGGTAGATACTCCTGTTAATGGTGAACCTCTAAGGTAGATAGTCCTGTTAATGGTGAACCTCTAAGGTAGATACTCCTGTTAATGGTGAACCTCTAAGGTAGATACTCCTGTTAATGGTGAACCTCTAAGGTAGATACTCCTGTTAATGGTGAACCTCTAAGGTAGATAGTCCTGTTAATGGTGAACCTCTAAGGTAGATACTCCTGTTAATGGTGAACCTCTAAGGTAGATACTCCTGTTAATGGTGAACCTCTAAGGTAGATACTCCTGTTAATGGTGAACCTCTAAGGTAAATACTCCTGTTAATGGTGAACCTCTAAGGTAGATACTCCTTTTAATGGTGAACCTCTAAGGTAGATACTCCTGGTAATGGTGAACCTCTAAGGTAGATACTCCTGTTAATGGTGAACCTCTAAGGTAGATACTCCTGTTAATGGTGAACCTCTAAGGTAGATACTCCTGTTAATGGTGAAAGGTATATACTCCTGTTAATGGTGAACCTCTAAGATAGATACTCCTGTTAATGGTGAACCTCTAAGGTAGATACTCCTGTTAATGGTGAACTTCTAAGGTAGATACTCCTGTTAATGGTGAACCTCGAAGGTAGATACTCCTGTTAATGGTGAACCTCTAAGGTAGATACTCCTTTTAATGGTGAAAGGAAGATACTCCTATTAATGGTGAACCTCTAAGGTAGATACTCCTGTTAATGGTGAACCTCTAAGGTAGATACTCCTGTTAATGGTTAACCTCTAAGGTAGATACTCCTGTTAATGGTGAACCTCTAAGGTAGATACTCCTGTTAATGGTGAAAGGTAGATACTCCTGTTAATGGTGAACCTCTAAGGTAGATACTCCTGTTAATGGTGAACCTCTAAGGTAGATACTCCTGTTAATGGTGAACTTCTAAGGTAGATACTCCTGTTAATGGTGAACCTCGAAGGTAGATACTCCTGTTAATGGTGAACCTCTAAGGTAGATACTCCTTTTAATGGTGAAAGGAAGATACTCCTGTTAATGGTGAACCTCTAAGGTAGATACTCCTGTTAATGGTGAACCTCTAAGGTAGATAGTCCTGTTAATGGTGAACCTCTAAGGTAGATACTCCTGTTAATGGTGAACCTCTAAGGTAGATACTCCTGTTAATGGTGAACCTCTAAGGTAGATACTCCTGTTAATGGTGAACCTCTAAGGTAGATACTCCTGTTAATGGTGAACCTCTAAGGTAGATACTCCTGTTAATGGTGAACCTCTAAGGTAGATACTCCTGTTAATGGTGAACCTCTAAGGTAGATACTCCTTTTAATGGTGAACCTCTAAGGTAGATACTAATTGTTAATGGTGAACCTCTAAGGTAGATACTCCTTTTAATGGTGAACATCTAAGGTAGATACTCCTGTTAATGGTGAACCTCTAAGGTAGATACTCCTGTTAATGGTGAAAGGTATATACTCCTGTTAATGGTGAACCTCTAAGATGATACTCCTGTTAATGGTTAACCTCTAAGGTAGATACTCCTGTTAATGGTTAACCTCTAAGGTAGATACTCCTGTTAATGGTGAACCTCTAAGGTAGATACTCCTGTTAATGGTGAAAGGTAGATACTCCTGTTAATGGTGAACCTCTAAGGTAGATACTCCTGTTAATGGTGAACCTCTAAGGTAGATACTCATGTTAATGGTGAACCTCTAAGGTAGATACTTCTGTTAATGGTGAACCTCTAAGGTAGATACTCCTGTTAATGGTGAACCTCTAAGGTTGATAGTCCTGTTAATGGTGAACCTCTAAGATAGATACTCCTGTTAATGGTGAACCTCTAAGGTAGATACTCCTGTTAATGGTGAACCTCTAAGATAGATAGTCCTGTTAATGGTGAACCTCTAAGATAGATACTCCTGTTAATGGTGAACCTCTAAGGTAGATACTCCTGTGAAAAGTGAGCCTCTAAGGTAGATACTCGTGTTAATGGTGAACCTCTAAGGTAGATACTCCTTTGTATTTTGAACATGTTAGGTACACTCTCACACATTTTTTCTGTTCTTTAGTTCATGTGGTTTTGGAAGGTAAAGGCATTCGAGAGTCAAGGGAATGAACGATATGATTACACTCTAGTTAACATCTACTGACTCGACAACCTAGCCAACCTAGCTATACATCTTGGTTTGGGCTAAAGAACTCTCTGGGTAACTAATACATGTTCAACTTTTGCATGTTATTTTGCTTTCAGTTACACACTATGCAGGAGGCTGAACGTCTCCGCAAGAAATTTCTTGAACACAAGTATGACAAGGAAGGGAAGCTGATATGTGCGAAGATCTTTATATTTGGCCCTGGTGGTGCTGGAATGTCATCCTTCTGTAATGGCCTGAGATCAGCACTGAAGGGTTCTGACACACCTTCCAACTACTACACAGTTAGAAATCTCGACTGTTCACTTACTGGCACTGTATGTACTTTCCCTGGCACAAATCTGGAAAAATCCGAAATTCTCCTGACTGTTAACTTAATGATTACCCTTTTGTTAATGTCATCAACACATATTCGTACTACGAAACCTATATTGTGCTGTTCACATAGCTCTCATGTCTTTATTAACAGTATATTAAACTCCATCATCCAATCCTTGGTTGATATGCTAGTAGTACATGGACAAAGTAATTGTCTTAAACGACAAACAACAAGAAATCCAGCGCTAGTGCCATATGGGCTGGAAAAGGAAAACAAACGATTCCTCTTGGGGGCAAAGGTCATTTAATAATGACAAATGTTTAATCGAAACATAAAACCTCCGGGTGGGAGGGTGGGTAACAAACAGACTGAGAAAAAATCACCAAATTCCTGCACAACGTGTAGTTTGCAAGTTACGTTTGGCGCCTGTGACGTGTCCCTTGCAACAATAAAAAAACAAATACCGCTTACAGCATAATCAGCAACTGACAGTCTGGATTGTCTCCCCTTGACTGTTAAATAAATGGACAGTAAATCAGATGCCATGGCATTGCCGTTTAAATTAAAATAAACTAGGGTTTATTTCTCACTTAAACTCCATCATCCAATCCTTGGTTGATATGCTAGTAGTACACGGACAAAGTAATTGTCTCAAACGACAAACAACAAGAAATCCAGCGCTAGTGCCATATGGGCTGGAAAAGGAAAACAAACGATTCCTCTTGGGGGCAAAGGTCATTTAATAATGACAAATGTTTAATCGAAACATAAAACCTCCAAAACCCCCAAGAGGAATAACCTGGTAAAAGTTCTGTGGTTTGACTTAATACACTATCCCTGCACTGAGAGATTGAGCAAGTTTCTCATGCATTGCATCATACACTGTAACATAGCGCTCATATGCATTGGAGCGCCAATCACCACGTAGCTTTATAAGCAAGGGTGGAATGCCAATGTCAAATGCATAGGAACATCCGCCTCTGCGGAAAGAGTGACCGCTGTATGCACCAGAATCATAACCACATTTGTCCAGATAATATTTCAATGTTTTAACAAAACTTTTGTAAGTTAAACTCTTGAGGACTCCACTTCTGTCCACATATGAAAACAAAGGTGCATTTGAATGTTGAAGTTCTTCACTATATTGTGAAAGCAAATGTTCAAGTGTTTTAACAGGACAAAGCACAGAGTCGGGTACCCTAGCCAGCGGTAACTTTAACACTCGCTGACCAAACTGTATAGTTTTTGTGTGTCTGACAGTAATCATGGCACTATCTTTGTCAGGGGAAATCTTGGCATCGTGCAGACTCAAGTAGGTCTGCTTTCTTGAACCACTGCCTCTAGTTTCAGGGAGCATGGTAGATTTCCTCAAGAAACAGAAAAACGCAATGATGCAGGCTGCCCAAAAGGCTACCAGGAATGGTTCTGACATGTCCATATGACTGTGCATCCGCCTTAGTATATCTGGTGTTATAGGAAGTTTTTGTTTCGTTGGTGTACCTTTTAGTCTTAATATACCTTTGTGCAGGGCCTTTTGTTCCCATGTCTCCAAGGGGTTTGGTAACCCCACCTCAAGATGAAGCAGGCGAATGATATTCATATATCCTGGAATACTAGTTGCTGAAAGGGATCTTGTTAGGAACACTCTGTACAGCAGTACTGTCATGCGGTCGGCTGGAACTGGTGTCCTACTAAAGTACAGACAGAATCTCAGATATGCAGTTTTCATTGAGGAATATGTGCGCTTAGTAGTTTCGGCATATGTTGCCCGTCGAAACTGCTGCATCTCGCTATATAGGTGTCGCCACTGTTGAGCCACTTGCCCTGTAGATAGGACAAAGTTAGGTTGGATATGTGTGAGGAGGATGGCACTAGAATATACTTCCTGTAACAATTTTTACAACACAACCAATAGAATGGAATAAACTGTATTGATTTATAAAGAAATGTAACATTGTGCAACCTGCTCAGAGAGTCAGCTGCAAGGTTATCCTTGCCTGGGATATATCTGGCTGAAAATTTAAAGTTATACACAGCAGAAAAACCAGAATATCTTGCGCAGCCAATGCATGGCTAATCGGTCACGACTAGTACCTTTGTTAAGGGTATGCATAGTATAAGTATTGTCTGTGTAGACAATGATATGTTTGTCTGTCCAGGTTACACACCAGCGTTTGACTGCTAAATACACAGTGAACAACTCTTTGACATTGATGTGTAAATGTTCAACAAATGGGAAGTCTGTATGCCAATTATAATAGACCAAGTCAGAGCCAAAACATGCTGCGCCACCATCACTGCAGGCATCCGTGGAGAACTTTGCTGCGGGCACCGGTTCATTTTCAATAAATTTCACAGTACCATTAAAACATTCACAAAATTCATGCCACCACTTGATATCAGCCTTTGCGCATACATTCAGCCTGGTATGGTGATTGGGTTTTTTAAGGGTATTACATAAGTCAATTAATCTGCGCATAAATGTGCGCCCTCCATGAACTACCTGTGCTGCCCAATTCAATTTACCTACAATTTCCTTGACGCTTTGTTGCTTTCTTTTTCGTCACCCACTTCCCTAATATGTGCTTCAAGTCAAGCAATTTATCCGCAGGTAAGGATAAGGTACAGGTAGTAGAGTCAATCTCTATCTCTAGGAAAGTCAGTTTCTGAGTAGGTTCAACCGTTTTGCTTTCATTTATAGCAAAACCTAGATTGGTCAATAATCTTCTCAATGTCCTGATGGTTTTCCAACACTCAGAGTTTGTTTTTGCAATGCATAGAAAATCATCAAGGTATACAACTACCACAATTCTCTGCGCCTTAACATTCTACGAACAGATGACGACAAACGGCTAAATATCTCAGGGCTCTTGGAAGCTCCAAATGGGAGCTTTGTGTCAATCATGTAGACTGGAAGTCTTGAGTTTTTGAACTGCCACAGCAGGCCGGTAGCTTCATAGCAGTCAGGATGTAACGGCACCACACGGTAAGCATTTTTCAGATCCTGTTTTGCCATGTATCCACCCCTCGGCAGAAGTTTGACTGCTTCGTCAATGGTTTGATATTTAAAAGATTGTGTCGTTGCATAAGTATTGAGGCTGAGATCACATGGTCTAGAGCAATCATGAATTAAGGTACCTTCCCAGTGCCTTTTGGTATTGCTCCCAAGCTACTAACAAGCTTTGGTTTTTTGTCTACAATAACATAATTGCCTCGGCTGATTTCCTCTGAAATTTGGTCTTCAACAATTGTTCGTACAGACTCATCTGTGGCAGACTTGTAGTTTTTACAAAGAACATCACTAATTGTTACATTTTTATCAATAATCCAGAAACCATTTTTGATCCCATCAATCAAAAACTCACAATCACTGTCCTCTTCTAATTCCCTTTCCCACACGTCAGTACAGTTCCCTATTGGGCTGGAGACTTTATTGTTTATAGGTACGAAACCGTGGTGGGATATCCTGGTGTTCAAACTGGGGATGCCTTTGCTTGCAGCCTGGTACTAAACATGTGTGTGCATACTTGCAGTTTGGGAACTTACAACCCGAGGGGTGCTGGTAATTAATGCAAATGGATCTGCCTGACTCATCTGTTGGACGATTGTCACTCTGAGAGCTGGAATGGGCATTCTGAAATGAGTTTGCTTTTCGGGGTTGGAATGTTCTGGAACGATATTTCACTCCAGCCGCACTGGGTCTGTGCTTGTCTCAATCTGTGTGCGTTGTCAAGAAGCATAACTGAAGGGATAGTATATGTTTGACAGAGATCCCCAATTTGAGCTGTGTATTCCAGATAGTCCTTCATTTCATCAATACCTGCTTTCCTGTGGTCGATCAATTTTGACAAAATGCGGACATTGGCTGAAACCCACTGTGACAATGGCACATGTTCTGGAAGGGGTTTCCCCCTGGATGACCTTAGATACAGCTGTGCTGACCCATCACCTACTATAGGCGTCTCTTCGCTGGTCATTGATGACCTGGGCTTAGATACAAAGTCAGGAATTAGAAGTGGTTTCTCACCTCGTCCCTGTAGTGAGGCATTTCCGGGTTGTCCCATGTCTAACGACGTGGTGTGGTCTAGAAAGTCTTTGAGGTGTACATCCGACAAGCTGTTTACAAGGTCACTCAACTGTTTGTCACCCGCAAGCGTTTTTGTTGTGACAGGCGACGGCAGCGACTGTACTGGTTGCGGCGATTTCAACTGTTTTATTGCTTGAATTAGGATGTTCCGCTGACCTACCGACAATCTTAGTTCAGTAATGTCATCTAGTGACATCAAGCACAACGCAACTGGACTATCAATGTCTTCGTCATTCAAAATTTGTGCGGTCTTACTGTTCAGATGGCTGTCACTGCACCATTGTCGAAAGTCGAACTGACTTGGCTGTTCGTTTCCTTCGCCTTTTTTACTCACAGACATTCTTCTTTGAGTGAATTTAAACAAACAGACTGAGAAAAATCACCAAATTTCTGCACAACGTGTAGTTTGCAAGTTACGTTTGGCGCCTGTGACGTGTCCCTTGCAACAATAAAAAAACAAATACCGCTTACAGCATAATCAGCAACTGACAGTCTGCATTGTCTCCCCTTGACTGTTAAATAAATGGACAGTAAATCAGATGCCATGGCATTGCCGTTTAAATTAAAATAAACTAGGGTTTATTTCTCATGAAACATGTTACATCACTAGGAAGTATTTACAAAAATAATAACATATACCTGCATTTTACGTTCCTGATAAGAATTCTGTGAATTCGAACCCATACACAGCATAAATGATGTTTATCTTGCCACCATACCAAAAGTGTTACTGTATCATAAATGTTTTTCTTTTGTCAACTGATTGCAAAGATATCATAATCTGATTCATTTTATAACGAAGTGTTGCACGCTCGTAGTTTTCACAAGAAATGTATATTGCATGTGTGAAAGGTATCCCAATCATAACCTCATAGTCATGTTTAATTCTACACCAAAAACCTTCATTTGACAGTTCCAGGCTACACAATATGGAGATCACTCGATTATTGACATGCCAGGAATTTTTGGATCGAGTGCTTTCAAAATGGAGGATATTGAAGCTATTGCATCCGGCATGGTTGGCCATGAAGCCCAGGTAAGCACTGCACAGTACATTCATCGTAATGGGTAAGTTGTAGACAAATAGGTATGTAAACACTTTTATACAATCATTATTCAAAATCTTCTGAGATTCATATACTCTTCCAAAAAAGAAACGATACATGAATAAATTTGATGACACCGGACCCGATCGTTTTTGTATTGTAGTAGTTGGATTTTATTTCTGAAGTAATCATTAAATCTCATTAAATTTTCGAGTAAAGATGCAGATTGCCTGAAACATAATGTGGTGACGTCGCGACGGAGCAATTCGCCAAAACGCAGCTGCATTGCCTTAAACGTGCAGCATGCAATTTTCTGAACTGTCGTGACAATTCCTCTGTCAGCAAGGTTTAAAAGGCCAGGACAATGACTTCTGACAAACACATCAGAAAATCAGAAAACGAGCCGTTAAAACGCCACATCTATCAAAAGCACAACGCAACAACGCCATCGGCCGACTGCAAGCGGGTGAAACACAACAGCATGTGGCGCAGGTGATGGGTGTGACCAGACTGACCATCTCTAACTTGTGGAGACGTTAACACCACCCGCAAGGTTCGCGACAGGCCAAGGTCAGGACGACCTCACGTTACAAAGCCTGGACAAGATTGCAACATCCGGGTACGACAGCTGCGGGACCGTTTCATCACGGCGACGTCGTCTATCGGATCAGACTGTTCGAAATCGTCTGTCATCAGCCTGTATTCTAGCCAGGAGACCCGTGCGGCGTAACATCCTGACGCCGCATCACCTCCGTGAACGTCTGCATTGGTGTCGTCAGAGAGTCACATGGCCTCAAGCATGACCGAGACGTGTTCTGTTCACCGATGAGTCCCGTTTTCTGCTGAGCCATGCTGCTAGACGTGCTGTTTGTGTACTGACGTCGTAACGAACGTTACGCTGAAAACTGCGTTCAGCAAGTGGATCATTTTGGACGCGGAAACGTCATGGTGTGGGGAGGCATTCATCACGGAGGCCGGACAGCACTTGTGAGAGTGGATGGTGCTCTGAATGGTCTACGCAACCGAAATTGGTCCCGTATTGAACATCGATGGGACGTGCTGGATCGTCGTGTCCGTCAACGTCAACCACCGCCACAGACACTTCCGGAACTATGGTTGCGCTAGAGGAGGAGTGACAGAACATCCCCCGGGCGTTTATGATCGCATCTATTGGCAGTCACAGCCATGAGGTGATAGCACCTCGAGGAGGCCATAATCATTTCTGACTTTCCACCTACCCCGGACGTCTTTCAACCTGTTTATGTTCAGTGCATATTGTACAGCGATAATCTACCTATACATTACACTATTTATAATATTTATGAAATCTAAACTCAAAAAGTAAAACCAGTTCAATCCTGATGTATAGGTTTGTTTAAGAGCATATATACATTTCTTTGTTTCAAGATAACTAAAACTCTGGATGTGAAAGGCGGCCTATCTCAACAAAAGGCACGAAGGGATGTGTCATGTGCTGTGCCGGTTCTCAATCATGGCATCACTCTGGTAGATGAATTGAAGCGTCAGATAGATACCATCATAGGGGGATACGGCGGTAAGTTTAAACCTATGAAAATGTCCCATGTGAATTCGTACGTCGCAGTAAAGGGTTTCAATATTTTCCTTTGTGAAACCGTGTTACCTCACTCAAGTTAGCTGACTTTTATCGGTCGTTTTTTCTCGTTGTATAGCATGCTGATCCTGCTGCAAACCAAACAAAATACCTAATTGAATGTTTCTAACAAATGATATGGAAGGTCAATATGATTGAGAGAGATCAAGACTTAACGCGGTCACTGGAGGTTACTTGATCACTTGCACATGTCTCAAACATGTTGTATATTTGGTTTAATTAATTTTGTTAAATACTGGCTCAATATATCAACACCTGTCATATGTAATGCTTGGCTCAAAAGGGGATCAATTATCCGTTCAGGTTATATAATTCTGAAATGACTTGTTTCGTTCATAAAGTATTCAAGGAATAGCGTAGAAAGGAGGCTTCAGATTGGCGAATGTAAGCGGTCAAGGTCATTCCTTTTGAAAATATGTATCCATACATGATCGGTCGGATGAGACAGGATGTTTTCTGAAGGTCATTAAATCATACTATAGAGAATTGTATAATTCCGCTTGTGCTGATTAAATGTATCGTGTTTCAGCCCTGTCCTACCACCTGGTGCTGACTCACCTGGATGAGTGTGACCCGCAGTTCGAGGACCAAGATAATCTCCCCAACCTGTACACTTCCCCTCTAGTACAGAAAGCAGTGAAGAACATGTCAGAACAAACTGGCATTCCAGGGTCGAACATCAGTTACGTCAAGAATTATGTGACAGAAACAGAAACAGACACCAACACGAAGCTGCTTCACCTGAGAGCTCTTGACGGAATCCTCACCTCTACAGCTGACCAAGTGGAGAAGATGATTGATAACAAACTTCAAAAGAAAAAGCTTGCGTTAACCGACTGGGCCATCCCAATTTTAATATGCGCTGTTGGGATACTTTTGTCCACTGCTCTGCTACGAAAATATGAAAGGCATGTGTTTTGACATTAGTGCAGCTGGCCAAGAAGGGACAGTGATTTCAGACGTCAGTAGAACATGTATTGAGACGGATCAGTCGTACAAGTCTTTATATCCGCTGCCGTGACATGTTTGTGCCCTGTGATATGTACATACGAACCCTGCGAATGTAAAACCATGCTCGTCTATAAATATGTAGGCACAATTATCCTCAGTACAATATTAATTAGTGTTCTTCGCGATGAGACTCAAAACTTGTCCTCAAGATGTCTTAAAAATTTGATTAAATAATGAATATATAAATAACACTATTGAGTTTTTCAGTCTCGTAAAACAAAAAGCTACATATGTAGTTGTGAATAAAAAGCTGAGTGCTACACACTCCTTACACACGCGATGGGTGCTCAGGGTACAAGTCCTGAAGTACATTTAAATGTTCGAATATGTAAATCGTCAAATAGTTTGAAAAATATTCCAGAACTGTCTACCATTCTGTAAACATAGCATTTGTAAGTTGTGATTCTTCGCATATTCATCAGAGCATGTTTTGGACCGAGAGAAAATAATTCGACCAGTAGTGTGTATTCCAGAATTATGGAGACTACTGAGCACTAATAGGCTGCTTCTGTACATCTATATATGACGTTATCATAGAACGGCAGGAAAATGTGATGTCTTAGAGATTGGCGTCGTAGAACTGAACCTTCCACGTTTCATTTATTGTTCTATTAAATGCTTATATTTTAACATGCTATGCTATTAACATATTTTCTCTTGATATGCTATTACCGCTTATTCCTTCCAGCCAAACTACTCAAAACAGTACAATAAGCGAAAGCCATTATGTTCACAGAAAAACGGTTCGCCCTTAATTTCGTTATAGTATAACAGAGATAAACTGTTCTGGCATGGAGTGTGAGACGAACTGATCATTATAATTAGTTTTCAACTAACAGATATATAACGATTTAGTCCGAATTCCTCCCTTTATTGAATATTTGTTTCATTGTCATCATATAAACATATTTTGTGTCATGTGCTGGAATATAGCTTGTTTGTTTTTCCACCTTTAAATTTGTTCAGACACCAAAAATAGAAATTACGCTATGAAACATCTGTTATCATAAAATTGTTCTTGAAAGTTGAAGATCAAACTGACTTTTCACACGGAGCACACCACTTTACACTGTCAACCGTTTCAAAGCACATTGGATTTACATTTTTCTAACCTGGGTTGATATAAAAAATGATCGTGACTTTGTTGAGACATGGCTGTTTACCTATTGCAAAGTCTTTGCTGCCGAGACCGCCTCCGTGGTCTAGTGTTAGAGCGTTGCCAGCCGCGTCATACAAACGCCAAACCCAAAGACGTTTAAAGGTTCTAATTGTTGTTTCCCTGCCTGGCGCTTGGCATTAAGGGGCTAAAACAAGGACCGGTCGGCTCGGAGTCAGGACACTGTGTCTGAGTGGGGTATTCATGTTAAACTGCGGCATGGTATCTCAGTGTGCTAGCACTATAAATCGGCATCAGTCAGGACTAGAACAAGCAGCCACACACATGTATTTGCATGCACGTCGCTATTAGTGCATCAATCTTGGACGCGACGTTAAGCCCGATTCCACCTGACCACTTCTTTGCGTCTGACCACCGTCGTTTCCCGATTTAATTGCACTGACACAAGTGACAGGGTGGGGATCAAGATCAGCAGCGTATAGAAGCCGTGTTACTCCTATCTTGAGTATTGGTAATGTAGTTGAGTGTATAGTGATTGTATTTAATATTTAATGCTTGTGCTTCCGAGATAATGTCCTCGCGGTATGCAACACTTCATATACAAAAGCTATATACATTGTATTGTCAGTTTACTTAATTACATACACTGCCTACTGTTAAGGTGGCAATGACAAACTTTCTTACATTTACCAAAATGAAAAAAAGAAATTTTAAATGGTATCTTTTATTCAATAGTGATCAATGCTTATTAGAGATACGTTTGAAATGCATGTTATACCCGAAACACAATGATATTTTCTTGACATAATGGGTACCACTGGATGTATTGTCGCTGTTTGTTTATGTTTGCCTTGAATAGTTTTAGTGATAATAAATTTTATTAGCTCAGTGCATGATCTTTGTCGTACCTTCACCGATACGTGGTTTGCAGGGGAGTTCCTTTCCCAGATCCAAATGTTATAATTTGGTATAAGACAAATTGGGGAATTGCATCGGAAATCACTTTGGTCACTGGTAACTCCACATCAAACTTACAGGAGTCGGGAACCGTGAGGGCGACGGGCAAGTGACTAGCAGCGCAAAGTCGCCGGCGCACAATATCACAATCTTCCCTGGCTGTTGTCACACGATGTTGCCTTGGGCATGGTCGATCTCGGGTACGTCCCGTCTGCTAAAATCGCTGGTTCAGTCCTGTGATGGTAGAGTCGTGACACCCAAACCTTGCTGCTATGTTTCTTGTAGTCATGCCAACTTCAATCATGACAATGTCAGGTTCCCGTTCCTCAAGTGTCAATCTCGGCATTGGTCCTCGGTGCTCAGGAAGGTGGAAGATACAGTGAACATAATGTAAACACAATATTCACAGAAACACGGACAGCAACAGCTTGTAAAGTAGTGTTGAGTGGAACAGAGCTATTGATTATGCCCTGCTTCACCAGGATAGAGGAACTACCTGTAGCTTAATCACCAAGAGGGGGAAAAGAATAAGTAGAGAGTGCTCTGGCTAGTTGTAGGAGCTATTACCATACTTAACTCAATTATTTACCTAAGTTGAAATACACAACATTTACATACTGCTACATTTGATCGTTCATAGATAAAGTACAGTGCAACGAAATGTTTTATTTGACAGCTTTATGTAAACTGTGAGCGAACAAAATCTTATATCCGAGTGAGTGAGTGAGTATGGTTTTACGCCGCTTTTAGCAATATTCCAGCAATATCACGGGGGAGGTGGTGGGGGGTGGGGGGTGCCAGAAATGGGCTTCACACATCGTACCCATGTCGGGAATCGAACCTGGGTCTTCGGCGTGACGAGCGAACGCTTAAACCACTAGGCTACCCGACCTCCCCTCTTATATCCGAACATCATCAGGACAGATATCTTAGAATTGCACGATTATGTTTACGAAAACGTACTCTTTTCATGTGGCGAAAATAAAGTTAACAAGTGAAAACACGAGTGAGGGGGCTACACGTACACATACCTAAAGGGGGCATAACTCCGCAATGTTTACCTGTAAGCCATTGTAACTCAGAACCCGTCTTGTCCGTGGTGAGATCTGCTGTGGCTCAGGACAATACACTCTTGTATAATGTTGTTTATGTGTATCTACAAAGTTCCAACACAGCTATCAATTTTGATAACCACACCGGTTCCTTTTCTGGGGCATTGAATGATTGCCATCCAAAATTATTCAGATATTGTGATAATAAAGAAGAATGACCTATAAAAATCCTGAAAGTGTCCTATGGCCCGTTGAAACCAAATACTTTCAGATTTTATCCCAATGTATAAGTAACGTTGAAATCGGTACCAAAAAAATACAATATATTACCACTATATGCGTTCATTTCAAAGAACAGAAGGTTGGGCTTTATCACAACAACAGCTCCACAACCCCACAACTCACCCCCACCCACCTAGGCACACCCACCAAGGCACACCCACCTAGGCACACCCACCAAGGCACACCCATCAAGGCACACCCACCAAGGCACACCCACCTAGGAACTCCCACCCAAGGCACACCCACCAAGGCACACCCACCAAGGCACACCCACCAAGGCACACCCACCTAGGCACACCCACCAAGGCACACCCACCAAGGCACACCCACCAAGGCACACACACCAAGGCACACCCACCAAGGCACACCCACAAAGGCACACCCACCAAGGCACACCCACCAAGGCACACCCACTATGGCACACCCACCAAGGCACACCCACCAAGGCACACCCATCAAGGCACTCCCACCAAGGCACACCCACCTAGGCACACCCACCTAGGCACACCCACCTAGGCACACCCACCAAGGCACACCCACCAAGGCACACCCACCAAGGCACACCCACCAAGGCACACCCACCTAGGCACAACCACTAAGGCACACCCACCAAGGCACACCCACCTAGGCACACCCCACCTAGGCACACCCACCAAGGCACACCCACCAAGGCACACCCACCTAGGCACAACCACCAAGGCACCCCCACCAAGGCACACCCACCTAGGCACACCCAACAAGGCACACCCACCAAGGCACTCCCACCAAGGCACACCCACCAAGGCACACCCACCCAAGGCAAACCCACCAATGCACACCCAGCAAGGCACACCCACCAAGGCACACCCATCAAGGCACACCCACCTAGGCACACCCACCAAGGCACACCCACCAAGGCACACCCACCAAGGCACACCCACCTAGGCACAACCACCAAGGCACACCCACCAAGGCACACCCACCTAGGCACACCCACCTAGGCACTCCCACCAAGGCACACCCACCAAGGCACACCCACCAAGGCACACCCACCAAGGCACACCCACCTAGGCACACCCACTAAGGCACACCCACCTAGGCACTCCCACCAAGGCACACCCACCAAGGCACACCCACCATGGCACACCCACTAAGGCACACCCACCAAGGCACACCCATCAAGGCACACCCACCAAGGCACACCCATCAAGGCACTCCCACCAAGGCACACCCACTATGGCACACCCACCAAGGCACACCCACCAAGGCACACACACCAAGGCACACCCACCAAGGCACACCCACCAAGGCACACCCACCAAGGCACACCCACCAAGGCACACCCACCAAGACACACCCACTATGGCACACCCACCAAGGCACACACACCAAGGCACACACACCAAGGCACACCCATCAAGGCACTCCAACCAAGGCACACCCACCAAGGCACACCCACCTAGGCACACCCACCTAGGCACACCCACCTAGGCACACCCACCTAGGCACACCCACCAAGGCACACCCACCAAGGCACACCCACCAAGGCACACCCACCAAGGCACACCCACCTAGGCACAACCACCAAGGCACACCCACCAAGGCACACCCACCTAGGCACACCCAACAAGGCACACCCACCTAGGCACTCCCACCAAAGCACACCCACCAAGGCACACCCACCAAGGCACACCCACCAAGGCAAACCCACCAATCCACACCCAGCAAGGCACACCCACCAAGGCACACCCATCAAGGCACACCCACCTAGGCACACCCACCAAGGCACACCCACCAAGGCACACCCACCAAGGCACACCCACCAAGGCACACCCACCAAGGCACACCCACCTAGGCACAACCACCAAGGCACACCCACCAAGGCACACCCACCTAGGCACACCCACCAAGGCACACCCACCTAGGCACTCCCACCAAGGCACACCCACCAAGGCACACCCACCAAGGCACACCCACCAAGGCACACCCACCTAGGCACACCCACTAAGGCACACCCACCTAGGCACTCCTACCAAGGCACACCCACCAAGGCACACCCACCATGGCACACCCACTAAGGCACACCCACCAAGGCACACCCATCAAGGCACACCCACCAAGGCACACCCATCAAGGCACTTCCACCAAGGCACACCCACTATGACACACCCACCAAGGCACACACACCAAGGCACACACACCAAGGCACACCCACCAAGGCACACACACCAAGGCACACCCATCAAGGCACACACACCAAGGCACACACACCAAGGCACACCCACCAAGGCACACCCACCTAGGCACACCCACCAAGGCACACCCACACCAACAGACCATGACCCGGCTCCACCCATGAATCTCAAATGGTCTGGCCCTATTTCGAAACGCCCACCTGATGCAATTTTAGCTGTCATTGTTGCGCCAATTAAACGTAAAAATCCAAATGTAAAAACAAATAGTTATACATACACACATGAGTTATACATTAATAAGAATATAACGTGACGAATTATCTTCAATTATACATCTACTATTAATTTAAGAAACGAAGTGCCTGTTTTATTTGACCTTTCTATATAAATTTGCCCTAATAAATATTTCACATTCTCCAAAGGAAATATGTATATGTTGCAGTGTGTTCAAAATGCGTCATATAGGAAGAATAACACGATGAATGCCAATTTCTATCTTCAAACAAATAGCTGATTATTAAGGTTTCATAGATTCTATTGCATTTTAGATAATATCAGTTATAGTACTACATACATTTACATGTACCCATTTTGCAGGTGATCATTTTTTTAATGGGTGAAAACATATTGAAGATATATTCAAATTATAATTCGAGATTGAAAAAGTAAACTATTTCATAAAAATTAATGCGTTGTGTACTAATTCACCCGCGCCTAAATAACAAATATGTACAACGATGTTGATGTTGACGTATACTAATATGACATCACTACCGGTAACCTCCTGTCATAACATAGAGAATTCACTGATAGCATTACGCGGAATGTTTTACCGTGATGCAAGGTTCGCATATATACATCAATGAGTCATCAGTAAGTTAAGTAATCAGAATAAATCTGAAATCAACAGGTTTTATTTGTTTTTAGGTTTCCATTCTCGCCTTGATACTACGTGGAAAGGCAGACCAATACTGTCATCAGTGTGCGTGATTTGGCGTCAATCATGGCGTCACGTGGAACGATTCTGTTGACTTTTCCAAGTATTTAGACTCTAATTATTAATTCCTCAATTCTTGCAACGATTATCGACCCATGCATATACGTAATAATCTGAGCTAATGTACACAACAAATTGACGACTGAAGCTCTCGGAATAGTCGAAAATGTTAAGTAAAACTAGCAGTTTGCTTTGTTTATATACATTATCAAACGAGAAGGCCCACTGGTAGGTTTCAGAGCACAGGGTTTGGTTTCACACTTTAATATTTCGGTTAAAATAGTTGTAAATGGCATCACATGATAAATACTTTGCCACAGAATCCAAAACTGTGACGTGTATTTGTGTGTATGGTGTGTATGGTGTATTTGAAGTTTTAGAAACGTATTATGGACCTAATCTCATCTTGGTCTACAGTACAGTGTAC